TATGGAAAGCCCCATTGAGTTCATCAACTTCGAATTTAGTTAAGTCAAGGCCAAATAACAGTGGGAGGATCCTTCCCTCCCTTCAGAGAAAAGGGCGCCTCTACTCCCTGGAGGGCCCTGATTCCTCCGGCTGGAGTGTTGTTTCAACCCAGGAATCCTTTCATTTAGATTGGTTTTTTTTGCCACCCATGTCAAGGGCTTTCCATGCCCTGTGAGACTCTCATGGACCCTTTTAGTCAGATCCGAATGTCCCAAGGGTTGATTCTGAGGCAGGAGTGGATAAGCTGTACTTTATGTTCTACAAATCTCCACCTCGAGAAAAAAGACATGCCAAAATGTCCGTGAGCCACGTCATTTATTTACTCACTCCATAGAACTTTCTGGTTTTCCCCATGCCTGGCTTTAAAAACCAGGCCGAGCAGGAGGTGGAGCTTGGTGGGCAGGCCCAAAAGGCTGGGCTCACTGCCTGAACCTGAACCCTCGGCTTGCTGCTCAGGAACTATGAACCCCCTAGCAAGCTGCTTCCCTTCTCTTACCTTCATCTACAAACAGGGCTGATGCTCTGGGCTTCTCAGGGCTTTTCTGAGAACACCAGAGGCAGGAAGTGCCCAGCAGTCAGCAACCTTTATCAGCATGCCTACTGGTGAGGCTGTACCCCCACGTGCCAAGTCAACCTCAGAATTACAGGGGCAACATAGCTCGTCCCTTTTCTATAAGTGAACCCAGCAGATCTAGTGGTCATTTGAAATGGTTTCTGTGTGTACAAATTACAGCCAAGACACTCAAGTGCCTTCCAACTGCTATTACTTTAAGAGTCTTAAGGAAAAGAGACATCATTTGGAAAGCAGAAAGGTGCAGTTCAAGTGGCAACTGGTAGAGGGTTTCTTCCTGAGAAGCAGGTAAAGGTCACACATGATGTTGTGAAAAATGAAAGCAGAGAAAGGATGGTGCTTCCGACTACTGTGGGGGTACCTCGCGCAAGGTCTAGAACAGCTGTCTCCCACAGCTGGAGACCCGAAGCCCTCACCTTGGCTCTTCCAATCTTGAAGGTTTCTTGCGGGCTGTAAATAACTGGAGTTTCTGGCTGGCTGGTGCGAATGAAGCACATTCCCTAGGGTACAGATGAAGACCAGAGCCACAGTTTAGAGACCAAAAACATGGAACTCAGAAACCTTGGAAAAAAGTTGGCGGGGAAGGGAGCCCTCAACAGTTCTTTTTCAAACTAAAAGTGGAGCAAATGCTTTGGGGTGAGGGATAAGCATATATGACCACTGGAAAACAGGTCCCAAGTCCTCTGATCGTGCTATTGAGCCAGGCCAAAGTCCAAGCAGGACTAGGAAGCTTTGCACACTGTCGCTTTTCCTGACTCAGGAAAGATCTACCAAATACACAATGACTAGTTCTGTATCCACAGAGCAGAAACTCGGGGAGGGAGCCCTGTCTCACATGGAAATAGAAATCTCAGAACTCAACGTTAAACAAAAGTTCACTTTTGTCACAATAACTTATGATACTTCATCCTCAGAAAGACTTTAGACATCTGAATAGGAAATGACTCACATTTTCCCCAATAAGATGTAAATAGGTTTTATCATCAACTTGAAACACAAACATTTAGGAGTATTTAATACCCAAGTGACTACTTAAAAGTATTTGTTAATTTACATGCAGATTTAAACATACATTGTAAACTAGTATCCCAATAAACAAACACTGCTTTTGTTTACTCCCCCACCATGAGCCAGCTTCCCTCAATGTCATTTTGAGGTGTTAACTCAGCCTCAGGAACATGCATAGGCCCTAAGGGCAGCACACCGCAATTTCTGATGAGGCAGACACGTGCAGTCATCACCGAAGTGCAGACAGTGTGCCCCCAGCCCAGAGAACTCCCCCAGGCCTCTTTTCAGTCACTCTGTCCACCCCTCGAAAGTAAACTCTACTCTGATTTCTACTATGTATTCTGATTTTGGTTCTTCTGAATGTTCTATAAATAGCATCTTATGGCATGTATAAAATCATAAAACATTTGCCCAGATGTAACAAATAAAAAACCAATCATTAGAAAAACACACACGGTGTGGGTCCACTTTTTGAAAAAAAGAATCAGGGACAGGCGGATGGTACAGCAGCTGAGCCAGCACTCAGGATGCCTGCATCCCATACTGGAGTGCTTCAGTTCAAGTCCTAGCTCCGCTCCTGATGCACTTCCTGCTAATATGCACCCTGGGGGATAGCGTGTGATGGCTCAAGTACTTGGGTTCCTGTCACCCACACGGGAGACCCGGATTGTCCTGGCTCCTGGCTTTGGTATGGCCCAGCTCTGGTTTTTAAGCAATTGGAAAGTGAACCAGAAGATGTGGAATCTGTATCAACCTTTCAAATATCAAGTAATTTTTTTAAAAACCAAGGAACGGGCTGTCCACATGTGTTACACCTGCTTCGAAAGGGAGCCTATATGGTCTGCCCCAGCCATGCCCATCTTATAGTACAGGAGTTATAGGCAAGGTGTTGGGGGTGTGGGTAGAGCTGGTGAGGGGAGTGCGCTGAGCATTAGTTGGAGGGGCTGAAAAGATAAAGACTACACTCCCTAGTCTCCCTCACAGCTAGCTTCTGGACAGACTTTCCATGCCTGAAGTCTTTTAGGAGAGCAGCAAGGCTGGGGCCTTCTGCTTCTGAGGGCAAGCCAGGACCAGAGTCTGGGGGTTGTGTGCATAGTGACTACCACCCTACTCCAGCACTGCGGTGTGTCTGAAGTCCTACGGCCCCACAGCAGCTGCCCACTGGTGGGTCAGCACTCCAGTCTGGGCCCTGCCTAGGGCCGACTCCTAGGACTCGGTAAACATCTTTCATTAACCTTCTTGTAGTTCCGAATGCTCAGAGTGCTCCTGGTTCTAGCACTGAGCCCTGAAAGAGAGGGGCTGCTAGGTTTTGTCCAGGATGCCTCTGAATCATCTGCTGAGGAATGAAGTGGGGTGGGGGTGTGGAAATCTGATCATCAGTACCAAAGTAGTGGCTGAGCCCAGACACATTTTCTGTCTGAACTAGAATCCCTTTAAACATACCCTGGTGTTGGCTGCCAGACAGACAGCATTCTCGGTAGAGACAGCATCACTTGGATAGAAAATAGTGCAGTTGGGAATGGTTCGGAACATGGCCAGGTCCTCTAGGGCCATCTGGGATGGGCTGTCCTCACCTGCGAAAGCCACAATCCAACAAAACTATGAGCATACGTAACAAACGCCACCAGGAACCTGCCTCCACCTCCCTCACTTTTGAGAAGCAATGCAACCCTTCCTGCTCTTGAACTACAGAACCCCAGAAAACAGCCAATGACACAGTCACTGTAACTCATTAGCGGGACATCCCACCTTGAGATCTCATTGCTAACCGTGTGGACAGGCTGCCCTTGAGCACTGAAAGCCGTCTCTGCGAGTTGGTCACTCAGCATTCCTGACCAAACTGATTCAGTGCACTTCTCTTCAGGTGTTGTCCTTGCTGCCACCAAGTCTCAGCCCACAGCTTTCTCCTTAGGAGAGTTCCCCCAGGCTGTCCTTTTTCTCTGCTCTTGTAAGTCATCATATGCATTTCTCAAGGCCTTCTGAGTAGTTGAGTGCAGCACCCCTCTGGAGCACCCTGAGGGCTATGGTTCTTACTCAGGGCACCCTTAGGGTATACTTGGGAACCAAGGGAGAAGCACCATGGAAAGACAAATCTGAGTGTACGAAGGACAGCTGAGCCCCTCGGCTTGGAAGGGGGCTGTCACTGTGCACACTGCCTTGCCTAGGACTGAAACCTAACCTCAGAAACTCTGCTCCTCTTTGAGTTGGAGGGCCCCAACTCCAGGAGACACTTCTTCACTGATCTAGCCCGTGGCAACAACTCTGGGCCAGTCCCCAGGCTCTGTGCCTGGCCCAACTGCAAGTTGCTGCTGCCGGCTGCCACGGCGCCCTACTCTCTGCTCTCCCTCAGCTTCACACACCCAGCCAAGTTTCCCTGATTCAGCCAGGTTATCTTATTCAGCCTCATCCCCCACGTCGTCACTTGCTCCCTAACACACACCTCTGGATTCTAGGACAAATGTGAGCCATCGTATGTATCTAGAGGGCCTGCCCCATCACAAGCTGGTCAGGTGAATCATCTCGGTCATTCATGAACACAACCCCTAGACACTCAGTTTTGCTGTTCACATGTTCTGGGACACTCCATTTCTCAGCAGCATCGGCCTCTTTTCTCAGACTCACTCAAGTCCACACTTGACTCCCCTGCCCCACCAGCAGCACATACCTCGTCCCAACCCTCTCAAGTGGCCTGTGTTCCCGCTGCCCAGAAATGTCTAGCTTGCTCAGCCAGGTCAACAGCCCCAGAACACTGGCTGCACTGGCAGCATTGCTGTTCTGCACTGACCCCACCTTCCTCGAGGGCTCCCTCTATTCTTTCTGAGCAGGCTGTCTAGCTGCTCAAAGTCCTCCTCTCTCCCCTCTGCCCACATTGCTTATCCCATTCCACTGCCGCCATACCGAGGGTGGACAGGAACCCTGGGACTCTGTGCTGTCCCTAATCCTATCTAGTAGGAGCAAGGCACAGAAGAGGTGCTCATGAAGTACTTCATAGTGAGTGCAAGGGTGTACACTGCACAGCAACACCAGGAGGTACACTTCAAAAGCCACCCAGAATATCCGAACACTTACAAAACCCAACGTAGCTTTTAAAAAAGGAGGAACTCAAAAGTTCAAGCTCAAGGTATCACACAAAAATCTTTCTTTGTAAGGAGAGAGGCTATTAAGATGGCAGCCTTTGGAACTCATACCCGCGGTCACCCCACAGTGGGAGCCAATAAGGCAGATGCTGCTTTCACAGGTGGCTCCCAACCGCAGCTGACTGAATGCTCGGGTCAAAAAGGTGGCAAAGGTGCTTGCAAAAGCTATGGTCCGACCACGGATGGCACAGCCCAGTGCCACGTTCACCTGCAACACAAAGAATGTGAGTTAGAACATCCCTGCTCCCCAGTTTAGACTGCATGGTCCCACGATGACTTTGACTCTGCATTAACCCAACTGCGGCTCTGCAGGCCTAGCCTGTTTCCTCTCCATTTCTCAATTTTTTTTCCCAAGCCTTCTCCATCCACCACTCTTCCTGCTCAGAGTGAACCCTCCCCTCCCGGGGAACAGAAAGGGAATAGTTTGCCCCGCCCCTCCCCATGCATAGCCCTGAACCCCCTAAGGATGACTGGCCTGCTGCTCATCTTGAATCTTGTCTCCTCTGGTGTGCTCAAAGGTCCTGCTAATTATGCATTAGCACTTCCCCACCTGTACTCCATCACCAGCTCCCTTCCCTGGATCATTCCACTACCAAGGACACACCACTACTTTCCATCTCCACTCTGCCAGCTGGCCTTGTCTTCCCTTCACTGTCCCACGTGGGTATCTTCTTCACAGAAAACAAAAAGCTGTCCACTCACTGTCCCTGCTTGCTCATCTTCCACTCTCTTCCAGCTTTAACCCCATCTCGGCTGCCATTCCCAAGAGGGACCTTTAAGCTGCCACCTTGGCTGGCATCTCACGTGACTTCTTGTCAACATTTGGCACAACTACCAGGCCCTGCCTTCCTCCAGGCATCTCCTTCTCGAAGTTTCTGCAATGTGCTAACTGGCCCAGTCCTCCTGCCTCACCACATCTTTCCCGCAGGCTGCTGCAGTGAGTCCTCAGGGCTCCACGTTCCCTGACTTCCTCCTTTACCTTCTGGTCCTGGGAAGGTCCAATACAGTCCTGGCTCTCTGATGGTCCCTTACTATTCTGATCCACATCATGGTCATGACTTCAACTTGAAACTTACCTCCCCTTGAACTCCATGCTCATATAGTCCAGTAGACTTCAGACTGGAGAGGGTAAGCAAAGATTTTCCAAGGGGAATGTGGTCATGACTGATTCCAAAGTCAAGATCTGTGACTCACTATAGACTTGGTGCTACATTCATCTGCCAGAGAAGGGACTGTAGACTTGTTTCCCACTATCTCCTTAAGAATCATCTTCTACTGGGACCAGTGTTGTGGCGTAGCGGGCTAAGCTGCCACCTGCAATCTCGGCATCCCATGTGGGCACCGGTTCAAGTCCTGGCTGCTCCACTTCCAGTCCAGCTCCCTGCTAATATACCTGAGAAAGCAACAAAATATGGCCCAAGTACTTGGGCCCCTGCACCCATGTGGGAGACCTGGATGAACATCTTGGCTCCTGGCTTTGGTCTGGCCCAGCCCTGGCCATTGCGGCTATTTGGGGAGTGAACCAGCGGATGGAAGATATTTCTATTTCTTCCCCTCTCTCTGTAACTCTGCCTTTCATATGAATAAAAAATAAATCTTAAAAAATCACCTTATATCAACCCAACTTCAAAAAGGCATGCCCCTCACTCACATCTTGTGAGTATAAAATTTCCAGACCAATCTAAGGACAATTTGAAATAAACATGCTGGCGTTGAGAAAGTCAAGAACTTAAATGATTGGAGGACAGATCCTTCTGTCAAGTAAGGTGATTACCAATTCTTTACTTTCGACAAAACTGAAAGAGAACCTAATAGTATTGTCGACTCTTAAAAATAAATAAAATGGTTTATAAAAGATTACCTATCTACTTATTTATTTAAAAAGGGAGGGAGGGTGGGAGGGGAAGAGAGAGAGATATCCCATCTGTGGCTTCACTCCCTAAATGTTCACTGGCGGGAGCTGGAATTCAATCCAGGTCTCTCGTGTGGGCAGCAGGAACCCAATTATTTGAGCCATTCCACTGTCTCCCAGGGTGCATAAGCTGAAATCAGGAGAGGAACTAGAAGATAATAAACTCAGGTACTATAATACGGGAGGGCCAGTGCCCCAACCAGCATCTTAACCACTAAACCAAATGCCTGTTCCCCCACAAACAATTTTAAATGAATAATCACTGTGAATTTCAACTTATAATTGGCAACAAATTTAAAGAACTGAATGATGAGGGCCAGTGCTATGGTGTAGCAGGTGGAGCTGCTGCCTGCAGTGCTGGCATCCCACATGGGCGCTGGTTCGAGTCTCGGCCGCTCAACTTCTAATACAGCTCTTTGCTATGGCCTGGGAGGGCAGTGGAGGATAGCCCAAGTCCTTGGGGCCCTGCACTTGCATGGGAGAACCAGAAGAAGCTCTGGTTCCTGGCTTCTGATTGGCGCAGTTCTGGCCATTGCAGCCATCTTGGGGGGGGGGGGTGAGCCAGCAGGTGGAAGACCTCTCTCTCTGCCTCTGTAACTCTGCCTTTTGAATAAATATTTTTTTCTTAAAAAAAAAAAAACCGAATGACATTCCTACAACAAAACTCCCATTTTCATCTACTTATGAGGGAACTTCAAAAAGTTCTTGGGAAACACGTTAACAGAAAAACCATACATGGATTTCAAAATTATCTTGTACTGAAATACTCACCTTCTGTTTCTATTTTACATGAACTTTTTCAAGTATCTTGGTACTTATGTGAACAAGGTTTCTTAGCATTTAACATCATTGAAATGAAAAACAGGAACAGAATTCGCTGTAAGCCATATTTCATTCAAATTATAAATATATTTATCCATTGGCATATGACGGTACTTCCAAAAGTTCATAATGCGTGTGTATCACAGAAATATGTGTAAGACAGAGATCTTCCATCTGCTGGTTCACTTCCCAAATAGCCACAATCACCAGGGCTGGGCCAGGCCTAAGCCAGGAGCTTCATCCAATTCTCCTATGTAGGTGCAAGGGCCCTAGGACTCGGACCACCCTCTGCTGCTTTCCCAGGTGCATCAGCAGGGAGCTAGATTGGAAGTAGAGCAGCCAGGGCATGAACTGATGCCTGCCTGGGATGCTGGCATTTGCAGGTGCCAGATCAATACATTATGCTACAACACTGGCCCTAGGTTTCAAATTTTTTATACCAAAACAAGCATCTTAAAAATTTTTCTATATTTATTTGAGAGGAAGAGAGAGGTAGAGAGCGAGATAGATCCTATCTTTTGGTTTACTTCCCAAAAGCTTCCAACAGCCAGGCCAAAACTGGGAGCTGGGAGCCCAATCCAGGTGTCCCACATTGGGTAGCAGGAATCCAACCACTTGAGCCATCACTGCTGCTTTCCTGGGTCCACATTAGCAGGAAGCTGGAATAAGGAACTGGAGGCAAGCATCAAAACCCAGTCCTCCAATATGGCATGCAGATGTTTTAACCAGTACCTCAACCACCAGGCTAAATGCCCACCCCAAACTTATCATTTAATTCCACTTTTCCGTGAGTAACAATAACCACAGCTCACTCCATAAGGAAAAATGTTCATGCTCAGAGGCCTACAGGTGTATGAAACTTACAAGAAGCTATCAACTTGTATACAAATTTTTGTTAAAAAGAAGGACAGGATGACCAAGAAAAGGCTTTCATGCATAAAGATAGCCTGGAGAAAGGGAAGGGAAAGAAGAACTCAAGCAGAAAATGAGGGATTTACTTTCTCACAAAGAAAACTGTCTTGGTGTAATCTTTAATTGAATACTTTAAATATTAATTTAAAATATAAAAATTTTCAGTATCTAGACAATCGCATCCTTTGCAACTATTTAAATTCACTGTTTAGATGTTGAGGCCAGCGCTGTGACAAGTAGTTCAGCAGCTGCTTGTGATACAAGCACCCCACATTAGAGCACTGGTCTGTTGATCCAGCTCCCTGCTAATGCACCTGGGTAAGGCGTAGATGGCCCAAGTGTTTGGGTCCATGAGACCCATGTGGGAGACCCAGATGGAGATTCCAGTTCCTGGCTTCAGCCTGGCCCAATGCTGACTGCTGTGGCCACGGAAGATCTCTCCCCTTTTGTCTCTATTGCTCTTCCAAATACATAAGTAACAAAATACATCTCTTTTTAAAATGTAGATTTTAACTTAATACTAGGCAAAGAGATACACTGATTAGAAAAACATATTCAGGGCCGGCGCCGGGGCTCACTAGGCTAATCCTCTGCCTGTGACGCCGGCACACCGGGTTCTAGTCCTGGTTGGGGCGCCGGATTCTGTTCCGGTTGCCCCTCTTCCAGTCCAGCTCTCTGCTGTGGCCCGGGAAGGCAGTGGAGGATGGCCCAAGTCCTTGGGCCCTGCACCCGCATGGGAGACCAGGAGAGGCACCTGGCTCCTGGCTTCGGATCAGCGCGGTGCGCCGGCCACAGTGCACCGGCCGTGGCGGCCATTGGAGGGTGAACCAACGGTAAGACAGGGAGACCTTTCTCTGTCTCTCTCTCTCACTGTCCACTCTGTCAAAAAAACAAAAACAAAAACATATTCAGGCCGGCACTGCAGCTCACTTGGCTAATCCTCCGCCTGCGGTGCCGGCACCCCGGGTTCTAGTCCCGGTTGCTCCTGTTCCAGTCCAGCTCTCTGCTGTGACCCGGGAGTGCAGTGGAGGATGGCCCAAGTGCTTGGGCCCTGCACTCGCATGGAGACCAGGAGGAAGCACCTGGCTCCTGGCTTTGGATCAGTGCAGCACGCCGGCCATAGCGGCCATTTGGGGGGTGAACCAAAGGAAGGAAGACCTTTCTGTCTCTCTAACTCTGCCTGTCAAAACAAACAAACATATTCAGTGGCTTGGAGAGCAAACAAATCTGTGGACAGCTAGCTCATCTACTGGCAACTATCTGATGCCCATATCTCCTTAGTGACCCCAGAGAGCTCCTGATGGTGCCCCCAACCCACTCTTCCCCAGTCTGGTCAACCTCTCGAGATTACAGCTCTCATGTGGTGCTCTGGACGATATACCCCCCGACCCTGGCGTCCCACTGGCCCTGTTGCTTCAGTCCGAGCCTCAGCTCCTTCACCTCATCTCTCTCTCCCCCACTCTCCACACTGCAGTGTCTTGGAACACATACTGTTGCTTTTATGCCTAAAGCCCTCTGATGGTTTTCCAGCAAATGGCAAGGACCCAGGGATGCCAAAAGTGGCCCTTGAGACCCCTTTTGATGGGCCCCCACAGACCTTTCTGAGCAACTTCCTGTGTGCTCCTCAGGCTCCTGCAACTTGGCCTTCCCTCTGCTCCTGACCACCCCGAATTTGGGTCTGCCTTAGAGCTGGCCATGCCTTCTGCTGGGAATGCCAACCCTACACCTGTCAAGGGCACTTCTTGTCATCAGAGGTTCAGCTTAAATGTCCTCTCTTCCAACAGGCTATCCCTGGTTGTCCACAGCCACACTCTTTCTGTAGCCACCTCTTTCAGCACAGCACTGAATACTACCTGCTGGCTGCTGCTTCACTGGTTTTCTTCCAATAGTGAGAACATTTCAGCAGGCACAGAGTATTTGTAGGTGGCTGAAGCCACCAACAAGTAAGGGAGCAAGTTTTTTGTTAGGAGAGTCAATCCAAAAACTTGGAGTGCATTTTTTTCCCACCCAAAATGAAAATAGCTTAATGGGACCCATGGAAACACACACACATTCTTAAAATTGTGGTGACCTACTTCACCGAACAGGGATGCTCCAAAACCCACAGCGACAGAGTCAAGACACACCAGGGAGGAATAAGCAGGCCAGTACAGCATGAAACCCAAGGCCCACGGAGAGCTGGCTGTGAACACCAGCTACACTGGGCTGCCAGTGGAATCCAGCTAACTGTCCTCACAGGGCAATGCTGGTCCATGCTGGCAGTGCATTTCACTTTCAAAATAATCCAGAAATTTGGCTTCTCTATAAAGTCTCTTGGTTTTTAAATGCTGGCAACTAATCTGAAATTTGTTTTCCTTTAAAAATTTGTATTTGTAGCCGGCGCCGTGGCTCACTAGGCTAATCCTCCGCCTTGCGGCGCTGGCACACCGGGTTCTAGTCCCGGTCGGGGCGCCGGATTCTGTCCCAGTTGCCCCTCTTCCAGGCCAGCCCTCTGCTGTGGCCCGGGAGTGCAGTGGAGGATGTCCCAAGTGCTTGGGCCCTGCACCCCATGGGAGACCAGGAGAAGTACCTGGCTCCTGCCATCGGATCAGCGCGGTGCGCCAGCCGCGGTGGCCATTGGAGGGTGAACCAACGGCAAAGGAAGACCTTTCTCTCTGTCTCTCACTGTCCACTCTGTAAAAAAAAATTGTATTTATTTATTTATTTGATAGGCAGATAGACACGCACACACACACACACACACACACAGATCCTATCTGATGGCTCATTCCCCAAATGCCTGTGAGGACCCAAGGGTGGGGGCCAGGAACTCAACTCAGGTCTCCTACTTGAGTGGCAGGAACCCAATCACTTGAGGCATCACTACTAGGCCTCCGTTGGCAGGGAGCTGGAGTCAGGAGCCAGAGCCAGGAATGGAACCAGGTGCTCCCATATGGGAAACCAGCATCTTGACTGCTAGGCCAAATGCTCATGCCTAAAAAGTTTTAAATACTACTCGTTTCAAATAAAATCTCTCTGTGGTCACATGAAATCTGCTACCCTGTGGTTTTCTGACTAGAAGAAAACTCACTGAATTACACAGTACTATTTTTAGCTTCTGTGACTGAAAGACAGGAGATGGGTACAACAGGGCTTTGGTGTTCAAGCAGTTGCCAGCATGAGCTGCTTTCCTGGGGAGGCAGTAGGCACAGATAGCAGAACAGCTTTACCCAATGCACCAGCTCTAACCTACTGGTATTCTTGAGGCTGCAATTAGTGTAATATTTGCATACCTGTAACTTATCAGGCCTGTGCTATGTTGAGAAAAACCACATCCCAGAAGCTCTTCAATCTATGTGCCTCTGGGTGGTTTTAAGATGGCTTAGTTTGGGGCCAGTGCTGTGGCGCAGTGAGTTAAAGCCCTGGCCTTAAGTCGGTTCTAGTCCTGGCTGCTAGCTCTCTGCTATGGCCTGGGATAGCAGTGGAAGATGGCCCAAGTCCTTGGGTCCCTGCACCCACGTGGGAGACCTGGAAGAAGCTCCTGCTCTTGGCTTCAGATCAGCACAGCTCCGGCTGTTGTGGCCATTTGGGGAGTGAACCATCGGATGGAAGACACCTCTCTCTGTGTCTCTACCTCTCTCTGTAATTCTGTCTTTCAAATAAATAAAATAAATCTTAAAAAAAAAATAAAAAGATGGCCTAGTGAGAGCCTGGACAGGGCAGAAAAAGTTCCTACCAAGCTCAAGTTGATATGGGCCTTGACCCCTGGGGTCAGAGGGCACTAGGCCCAGAGGTCCCACTGGCTGTGGTCCTCAGTATGCTGCCCTTAGACAACCTGAAGAAGGTGCAGTCCACCACATCCCTCCTAGAACACCTAGAAGCTACCTTTCAAACTCAGTCCAACTATTTGCTCTCCAGTCCCTTTGCTTTTATGAATGGCAAAAAAACTGAATTGCAGGGTGGGCCATAACAGTCCATGAGAAGACCCCAGAGACTCAAACAGAACACTCACCATGTTTTGCTCAGCAAGAAAACAGTCAATGAAGCGCTCAGGGTGCTCTTTCTTGAATATTTCGGAGAAAGTAGCATTCTTGGTGTCACCATCCAGCACAACGACTCTGTCATTTGCATAACCCAGTTTGGCTAGAGCCAAACCACAGGCTTTCCGAGTAGCCACCTACGAGAAAGTCAAGTGGTAGCATTTCATGAAATGCATTTAGAAGAAAAGAACCATTTTGTAGATTTACAGTCACCTATGTTGATGAAGTAGGTGAACTTCCAAGGCCAGTGCTGTAGCACAGTGTGTTAAACCGCCACCTACAATGCTATCATCCCATATGAGCGCCACTTCGAGTCCTGGCTGCTACACTTCTGATCCAGCTCCTTGCTAACGCACCTGGGAAAATAGCAGAAGATGGCCCAAGTGCTTGGGTCCCTGAATCTACATGGGAGACCCAGAGAGGAAGCTCCCAGTTTCAGCCTGGTGCAACCCTGGCCATACGGGAGTGAACCAGCAGATGAAAGACCTCTCTCCCCCACTCTAACTCTGCCTTTCAAATAAATCTTAAAAAAAGGTAAACTTGGGACTCACCAGTGATCTTTTGTAAGATCATACACGTGAGCTACTAGCTTATCTTAAACCCATACCTGGTTCATTGGGTATCAACTTCTCAAAAACGTCCCCTACACAATTGATGTGCTACTTAACTTGTTTTCAGCTCATGCTCTTTCTGGTTAATATCCTCCTATTTCTAGTTCTCAAGCACGTAACACTTCATAACTCAACAGAATTTCAGATGTTAATTTGTCTTGGTATACTTTTTAAATTGCTCTGCTACATTAATTGGTCTCTCATCCAAAGCTTACAGATGCCATTTTATTTGAAAAATTTACTTCAACTCAATATATTCCCTGTCCCATCCATAAAGTTTATTAAAACTTTTAAAATTTTTTCCCAAAATACAAATGTCTGAGTGATTTTTTTAAGTTACAGAACTGGGGGCTGGTATTGTGGCACGGTGAGTTAGGCCACCCTGTGGGATGTCTGGTTTGAGTCCCAGCTACTTCGTGTTTCCGAACAAGCTTCCTGCTAACATGACTAGGAGGCAGGTGTTGGACCAAGTACTTGAGTCCCTGACACCCACGTGAGAGACCCAGAAGGAGTTCCTGGCTCTGGGCTTTGGCCTGGCTCACCCCTGACTGTTGCAGGCATTTGAGATGTGAACCAGCAGCTGGAACATCTGTCTCTGTCTCTTCTTGTCACTTTGGCTTTCAAATAAATAAATTCATAAAAATATAAATTATATAACTGATAATACTCATTGCAAAAACAAAATATCTAACGTTAGAACCATGGTATCACTAATAAAGAATTCCATTAGGATACTCCATGAGATTGGACTGAATCTATAAATTAACTTAGGGAAGAACTGACATCTTTACAATGTTAACTTTTTCATTGAAAAAGTTTGGTAATCCCCAAACTATCATACATAGAACTAAATGTAAACATAGAATTAAAATTGAGTATGACCCAGTAATTGTACTCCTAGCCATATACCCAGGAAAAAGTGTATTACCTGTACAAAGACATACACAAAATAGCCAAAAGGTGTAATAGCCAAAATAGCCAAACCAAATGTCTCAACAGATGAATAGATATTGTGGTATATATTAATACAATGAAATATTATCTGACCATGAAAAGGAATTAAGTACTGATACATGCTACAGTGTGGATGGATGTTGAAAACATTGCTAAAGGAAAGTCAGACACTAAAGATCACACACTGTATGACCCCACTCAAGTGAAATGCCCAGAATAGGCAAGTCCAGAGACTAAAGATACTCAGTGGTTTCCTGGAGCTGGAGATTAGAAACAGAGCAACTGCTAATGCATCAAAGTTCTTTCTAGGGTACTGGAAATGTAACACTGACTTTATTTTCTTGATGACTACACAATCAGGTCAGAATTGTATACTTTAAATGGGTAAATTACATGATATATGAATTACGTATCAATAAAACTGTTTAAAAAAACACACAAGGTTTGCCTTTTATTTGCCTTCTTTCTGCAACCAGGTGCTACAAAAACAATTCTTAGGAGTGGGCATTGTGCTGCAGCAGGCTGAGCTGCCACTTAGGACATGCCAGTGCCAGTTTTTTTTTTTTTTTGACAGGCAGAGTGGACAGTGAGAGAGTGAGACAGAGAGAAAGGTCTTCCTTTGCCGTTGGTTCACCCTCCAATGGCCGCCGCGGCTGGCGCGCTGCAGCCGGCACACCACGCAGATCCAATGGCAGGAGCCAGGTACTTATCCTGGTCTCCCATGGGGTGCAGGGCCCAAGGACTTGGTCCATCCTCCACTGCACTCCCTGGCCACAGCAGAGCTGCCAGTGCCAGTTTTAAGTCCTGGTTTCTCTGCTTCTAATCCAGCTTCCTGCTAATGCCCCTGGGAGGGCAGTACATGAAGGCCCAAGTACTCAGATTCTTGCCACCCACACGGGAGACTTGCATGGAGTTCCTGCTTTCTGGCTTTAAAAAATATTTGAAAGGAAATTACACGAGAAAGGGAGAGACAGAAATCTTCCATCCACTGGTTTACTCCCCAATGGCTATAACTGGGCGAGGCTGAAGTCAGGAACCAGGAGCTTCTTCTGAGTCTCCCATGTGGTTGCAGGCTCCCAAGTACTCAGGCAATCTTCCATTGCTTTCCCAGGCACATTAGCAGGGAGTTGGATGGGAAGTGGAGCAGCTGGGAATCTAACTGGTGCCCATATGAGATGCTGGTGTTACAGGCAGCGGCTAAACCTGCTACATCACAATGCCAACCCCTTCTGGTTTTGACCTGGTCCAGCCCTGGCTACTGCATACATCTGGGGACTAAATCAGTGGTTGGAAGATCTCTGTTATTCTGCCTTTCAAATGAATAAATCTTTTTTTTTTTTTGACAGGCAGAGTGGACAGTGAAGAGAGAGAGAGAAAAAGGTCTTCCTTTGCCGTTGGTTCACCCTCCAAATAAATAAATCTTAAGAAAATATTCTTAGACCAGTGGATGAGAGCTATTTCTGTGCTATGCTTTTTTTTAAGATTTATTTATTTATTTGAAAGGGTTACAGAGAGTGGTGTGGCAGAGGCGGAGGGGGAGGGGGAGGCAGAGAGGGAGAGGTCTTCCATCTGATGGTGCACTCCCCAATTGGCCACAACGGCCAGAGCTGTGCCAATCCGAAGCCAGGAGCTTCTTCCAGGTCTCCTACTTGGGTGAGGGGCCCAAGCACTTGGGCCATCTTCTACTGCTTTCCCAGGACATAGCAGAGAGCTGGATTGGAAGAGGAGCAGCCGGGACTAGAACTGGCACCCATATGGGATGCCAGCACTGCAGGTGGAGGATTAACCTACTGTGCCACAGCACCAGCCCTCTATGCTTTTCAAATAAACAAATTTTTAACAATTTAATTTTTTTTAAAAAATGCAATGTGTGTACAGTACAAAAATCCAAAGTTCTAGTGGGGCACTGAAGGAAGACACCATTTTCCCCTGATCCCATCCCACCATCCCCAGGGCTAACAGCAGCAGCTTTGGGAGGCACTCTGAGAAATGGCCAATGCACCAACATTTGGTGAGCATTTCTTATATATAAGGCGTTCATTTATTTATTTGAAAGGCAGAGTGACAGAGGGAGAGACAAGAGATCTATCTGCTGGTTCACTCCCCAAATAGCTTCCAAATGGCTGAAGGCAAGAGCCAGGAACTCCACCTGGGTCTTCTTCCACATGGGTGGTGGGGGCCCAAGTACTTAGGCCATGTTCAGCTGCCTTCCTAGGCACAGTAGCAGGGAGCTAGATCAGAAGCAGAGCAGCGGGGACTTGAACTGGCACTCCAACACAGGATGCAGGCACTGGGGCTTTCCACAACACCAGCTTTTGATCCTCCTCTTTTTTTTTTAAAAAGATTTATTTTATTTATTTGAGAGGCAGAGACAGAGAGGTAGAGACAGTTGTCTTCCATCTGCTGGTTCACTCCCCAGATGGAGCTGCACCGATCCAAAGCCAGGAGCCAGGAGCTTCTTCTGGGTCTCCCATGTGGGTGCAGAGGCCCAAGGACTTGGGCCATCTTCTACTGCTTTCCCAGGTCATAGCAGAGAGCTGGATTGGAAGTGGAGCAGCCAAGACTAGAACCGGTTACCATATGGGATGCTGGCGCTTCAGGCCAGGGTGTTAACCCACTGTGCCACAGCGCTGGACCCCCTCTTCTTTTTTTAAAGATTTACTTGAAAGGCAGATATACAGAAAGAGACACACAGAGAGAGAGACAGAGATCTTCCTTCCACTGATTCACTCTCCAAATGGCTGCAGCAATCAGGGCTAGGCCAGGTGGAAGCCAGGAGCCTGAACTCCATCTGGGAGTCTCCCATGTGGATAGCAGGGGCCCAAGCACTTGGGCCATCCTCCATTGCTTTCCCAGGTGCATTAATAGGGAGCTGAATCAGAAGTGGTGCAGCTGAGATTGAACTGGCACCCGTATGCATGCTGGCATCACTGGCAGTGGTTTAACCCATTGTGCCACAATACCAGCTACTCTTGTTATTCAACTGCAAAGGCTAACACTTCCAGAGGGGCTGAGTTACTCTACCAGATGAACAAGAAATGACTTCACCCTTACACATGAAAATAGCTCTAGATTTCAGTTATCTGGATCTATAATCAAACTAGCATCTCACCAGTCTTATTTTGTTAATATTATATATACATGTATGTATGTATGTATTTAAAGATTTACTTTTATTCACTTGAAAGGCAGAGTTGTAGAGAGAGGTAGAGGTCTTCCATCTGCTAGTTCACTCCCTAAATGGCCACAACTGGGGCTGGGCCAGGCCAAAGCCAGGAGTTTCTTCCAGGTCTCCCATGTGGATGGCAGAGGCCCAAGCACTTGGGCCACCCTTTGCTGCTTTTCCAGGTGCATTAGCAGGGAGATGGATTGAAGTAGAGCAGCCTGGACTCAAACTGGCGCCCATATGGGATGCCAGCACTGCAGGCTGGGGCTTTAACCTGCTGCACCACAGTGCTAGCCCCTAAGAGAATTTTTTTAGAACAAGAAATGATGTTGAATTCTGTGAACTAATTCTGTTTACATGTATAAATGTGATCCTACTTTTCCCTCCTCCTTTGACTAAATAATACAGTGGTGTAATACAGTGGTGAATTAGTAATTTCTGGTTTTACCATGCTGTGAAAGCAAAACAAATTCAGCAGAAGCCATACTTTAGAGATTTGATTTTCTTCCTAGATGTGTGACATGCAGCATACTATCCCCTCCAGTAATGCTGGCCCCTTTCTTTAGGTTTTTAAGTCCTGCATACTTCATGTCTGTTACAATATACCAGAATGTAGGATATAAAAATGATGGGTAAAAAACTAAAAGGCATGGTATGGTGGGTTAAACTGCCACTTGCAACACCGGCATCCTGTATGGACAATGGTCCATGTCCCAGCTACTCCACTTCTGATCCAACTCCCTGTTAATGTGCCTGGGAGAGCGGTTAAAGATGGCCCAAGTGCTTGGGCCCCTGTGGGCAACCCAGAAGAAGCTCTTGGCCTGGCTACTGTGGCTGTTTGGGAAGTAATTCAGTAGGTGGAAGATCATTCTCTTTTTTAAAAGAATTATTTATTTGAAAGACAGAATTACAAAGAGAGGTAGAGACAGAGGTCTTCCATCTGCTGGTTCATTCCCCAACTGGCCGCAATGGCTGGAGCTGTGCTGATCCAAAGCCAGGAGCCAGGAGCTTCTTCTGGGTCTCCCACATGGGTGCAGGGGCCTAAGGACTTGGGCCATCTTCTACTGCAATCCCAGGCCATAGCAGAGAGCTGGATCGGAAGAAGAGCAGCTGGGACTAGAACTGGCGCTCATATGGTATGCTGGCGCTTTAGGCCAGGGCTTTAACCTGCTGTGCCACAGCAGCAGCCCTGGAACATCACTCTGTTGTCTCTTGCTCTAACTTTGCCTTTCAAATAAATAAAAATAAGTCTCTAAAAATAGTCAAAAAACTCAAACATTTACACATGTAATTTGGTTCTCTCTAGAAAAAATATTTATTTGAAAAGCAGAACAACTGTGAGAGAAAGAGAGAGACAGACTGACATTGATCTTTCATCCACTGGTTCACTTTCCAAATGGCCATACAATAGCTAGGTCAGGGTCAGGCTGAAGCCAAGAGCAAGGAACTCCACCTGGGTCTCCCATTTGGGTGGCAGGGGCCCACGAACTTGGACCATCTTCTGCTGCACTCCCAGGATCATCAGCAGAAAGCTGGATCAGAAGTGAAGTAGCTGGGACTCACACTGGCACTCTGATATGGGATGATGGTGTCGCAAGCAGCAGCTTAATCCCCTGTGCCACAAGGTCAGTCCCTTGACTCTTTTCTGAAGAACTAGTTTTTAATTTGCCTGTCTCCTTGTCTAATCCCAAGACAGGGTTCCAAAGACCAGTCCACCTGTATCACCATCCTTAGTGTACACTCAGAATCACGGCAGTTTCATGCATTGCAGAGTATCAGGCCACAGACCAAAGTCAGGAAGCAAGAAAAAGCCAAAGAACACAAGGCAATAATAAATAGCAACTGGATAGTAAAAAAAGTCAGACCTAAGTAAGTGTGAAAGCAGATTAAAAAAAAGGGCATTAGCTATTAAAAGAGGTGAGTTCATCTTTTTGGCTTATAACCATTAATTAAATGTCTCATAGTCTAGTAATTGGTTCTTCTATAGAAATCATAAGAATTCTATGTACTCAGTAGGAGATTCAGAACAATATCTTGTTCCATTATCCACCTTCTTGCTTACCCGGTCGCCAATTTCGTAAGCAGGCAAAGAGATCATCTTTATATCTGTGATGCTGACTTGAGGAGAATCCTCAATAGGGGGTTTTGGCACAAGATTGCTATTGGTCTGTATCTGGCTCTCAATTAACTTGATAATTACATCTGCTCTTTCTTTTGACACTGGTTTTCCATACCAACTTTCTGCATCTTCAACATCTGCAACAAAAACAAATAATAGTCATTTTCCCATAAATATTTAATAAGTGCCTTTTAGGTCATCTAAACACATTCTGACAATAGGGATGTCAGTGCAGGACTCACAGGATTAAGAACTTGGCACAGAGGGCCAGGGATGGTGTTACAGACTGAACAACCTGGATGAAAGCCCTCTGGCTTTGGAGGGGGCCACTTGCCCATGTAAAGTGAATGGAGGGGAAAGTGGGGAAGATGAAGCTGGAGAGACAGGCAGGGTAGACTATGGAGAGTGGGTCTTGTGGGTATAGGAGGAGGAACTGAATTTATCCAGAGCAGTTTTGAAAGTTATCAAAGGATTTGTGTCAGGGGAGTGAGTGGAAATTAGTTTGGAGGGAAGTATGCTAGAAGCGGAAAGCCCACTTGGGAAGCCACTGCAGTTCAGGGACAAGATGGGGTCTTAGCAATAATCATCACAGCAGAGAGAAACTTTACAGATGAGTATGGGGGAGGGGCACGTATGGGAAAGGCTGTGTTTTGGGAGGAAATACAGAACAATTTTATTCTAAAATGTCTACATATTCTTCCCACAAAATTGGTTAAATTTATTTGAAAGGGAGAGAGAAAGAAAAGCCACCTGCTGGTTCACTACCCAAATGTCTGCAACAGCTAGGGCTTGACAAAGTCAAAGGCAGGGACTCAACCACTTGAGCCATCATGTGCTGCCGTATGGGGCGTCCATTAGCAAGAAGCTAGACTGGAAGTAGAACAGGAACTAGAATCTAGCCGGCACCGCAGCTCACTAGGCTAATCCTCCACCTTGCGGCGCCGGCACACTGGGTTCTAGTCCCGGTCGGGGCGCCGGATTCTGTCCCGGTTGCCCCTCTTCCAGGCCAGCCCTCTGCTGTGGCCAGGGAGTGCAGTGGAGGATGGCCCAGGTACTTGGGCCCTGCACCCCATGGGAGACCAGGAAAAGCACCTGGCTCCTGCCATCAGACCAGCGCGGTGCGCCGGCCGCAGTGCGCCAGCCGTGGCGGCCATTGGAGGGTGAACCAACAGCAAAAGGAAGACCTTTCTGTCTCTCTCTCTCTCTGTCCACTCTGCCTGTCCAAAAAAAAAAAAAAGGAACTAGAATCTAGGCACTCTTGAAATGGGATGAGGGTGTCCCAAGCAGCAGCTTAACTGCTATGCCAAATGCCTGCTCCTAAAATAACTCTTTATATTTTTTGTTTTGTTTTTCTTTTTTAAAAACTTTTATTTAGTAAATATAATTTTCCAAAGTACAGCTTATGGATTACAATGGTTCCCCCCCATAACTTCCCTCCCACCTGCAACCCTCCCATCTCCCGTTCCCTCTCCCATTCCATTCACATCAAGATTCATTTTCAATTCTCTTTATATACAGAAGATCGATTTAGTATATATTAAGTAAAGATTTCATCAGTTTGCACCCACACAGAACATAAAGTGTAAAATACTGTTTCAGTACTAGTTATAGCATTAATTCACATTGAACAACACATTAAGGACAGAGATCCTACATGAGGAGTAAGTACACAGTGACTCCTGTTGTTGACTTAACAATTTGACATTCTTATTTATGGCATCAGTAGTCTCCCTAGGCTCTAGTCATGAGGAAGCCTTTTGAGTTCACCTACTTTGATCTTATTTAGACAAGGTCATAGTCAAAGTGGAAGTTCTATCCTCCCTTCAGAGAAAAGTACCTCCTTTGTGATGGCCCGTTTTTTCTACTGGGATCTCACTCGCAGAGATCTTTCATTTAGTTCTTTCTTTCTTTCTTTCTTTCTTTCTTTCTTTCTTTCTTTCTTTCTTTCTTTTTTTTTTTTTTGCCAGAGTGTCTTGGCTTTCCATGCCTAAAATACTCTCATGGGCTTTTTTTTTTTTTTTTGACAGGCAGAGTGGACAGTGAGAGAGAGAGAGAAAGGTCTTCCTTTACCGTTGGTTCACCCTCCAATGGCCGCTGCAGCCGGCGTGCTGTGGCCGGTGCACCGTGCTGATCTGAAGCCGGGAGCCAGGTGCTTCTCCTGGTCTCTCCCATGTGGGTGCAGGGCCCAAGGACTTGGGCCATCCTCCACTGCACTCCCGGGCCACAGCAGAGAGCTGGACTGGAAGAGGGGCAACTGGGACAGAATCCGGTGCCCCGACCGGGACTAGAACCCAGGGTGCCGGCACCACAAGGTGGAGGATTAGCCTATTGAGCAGTGGCGCCGGCCTCTCATGGGCTCTTCAGCCAGATCTGAGTGCCTTAAGGGCTGATTCTGAGGCCAGAGTGCTATTTAGGACATCTGCCATTCTATGAGTCTGCTGTGTATATAGCTTCCCATGTTGGATTGTTCTCTCCCTTTTTTATTCTATCAGTTAGTATTAGCAGACACTAGTCTTGTTTATGTGATCCCTTTGACTCTTAGACCTATCAGTATGATCAATTGTGAACTGAAATTGATCACTTGGACTAGTGAGATGGCATTGGTACATGCAACCTTGATGGGATTGAATTGGAACCCCCTGGCACATTTCTAACTCCACCATTTGGGGCAAGTCCGATTGAGCATGTCCCACTATTGATGTACAATTTAATACTTTATCCCTTTTAGTATTTTTTTTGTTCTACTTAATACTATTGGTTGAACTCTAATTAACACACAATTATTCTTAGGTGTTTAAATTTAACTGAAAAGTGATCCCTGTTAAATATAAGAGTGGGAATAAGAGAGGGAGGAGATGTACAATTTGGAACTCTTTATATTTTTAAATACAACTATTTAAAGTTGAGATGAAAAATTTGAGGTGACAGTTTTGAAGGGTGCAAGGAGTTAGTCTTTCAAAACTTCCTACTCCCCTAGTCCCAGATCCACAGCTACCTTTCTCAGAGGTGATACTTTGCCATTTCCTATATTCTCTCAAGAGTCTGGACCTAGGCATATGCGTGTGTATGCACACCCCTAACCGTGCATCTGCTGGTACATGTAGCATACTTTCTCACTGCATAGACCACCCCCCTTCAGCCACTCTACCTGATGGGCTGTCTTAGTCCCTCCCTCACTGCTCACTTGCAGGGGGTCTGGACTCCTCCCTCCCCTAACAAGACATACTGTCTAGTGAGAGCAAGAGGAAGAAACAATCTCTAGCATCCACCATAGGCATCATCACTGTGACTTAACTCAGTCGCCTGCCTGCCTGTCTACGCCTCCTTTGCTGGGCAAACAGATGTTTTCAATAACCACAAGCAGGAAAGAAATGCTTACTTGGCATGCCCCGGCCCTTGAAGGTCTTGGCAACCACAGCAGTGGGCTTGCCCTTCACTTGAGCTGCCTGCCAGAATACCTGGCACAGTGCCTCCACGTCCCGGCCATCCACCACGTAAGTATTCCACCTGTCAAAGGAGGGAGCAGCCAGGTTACATGAGGCAAAGAGGGGCAGTACAGAAAGAAGATAAAGCAAGAGAGAACGTGGTTACCCAAAGGCCTCGCAGCGCTTCTGGTAGATCTCTATGCAGTCCTCAACGGGCAAGGTGCCACCTTGTCCCAGACGGTTCACGTCAAAGATCACCACAAGGTTGTCCAGACTATAGTAAGAAGCGAAGGTCATTGCTTCCCAGACGGAGCCTTCTGAGGTCTCACCATCTCCCAAGAGGCAGAACACCCGGTAGCTAGAATAAGCCAAGAGCACTTCAGGAGCATGCTGGGGGATGGGGAGGCTCAGTGAGCCACTCAAGCAAATGCCTTTCAGCAGAGACAGGAAGGAGTTGACCTGAGAAGCTACTTCTGGCCATCTGGTCCCATGCAGCTGCTGAGGCCATGCTGCTTTGAGAGCTCGGGCCTCAGGAGCCAGGCTCTGGGCCTTTTCTTATGCTATCCGCGAGGCTAGTTTTAGGTTCTTCTGCCACCTCTCCCTATCTACAGGCCAGAGAGCAATGGGAAGAAGTCAGCTCCCCTGAATCCCCAAGCAACATTCCCATGTACACTTTCTTGGTAAGCTCCATTTACTTTTTAAATATTTTATTTATTTATTTGAGAGGTAGAGTTACAGACAGTGAGAGGGAGAGTCAGAAAAAGAGGTCTTCCCTCCACTGGCCCACTCCCCAATGGCCACAATGACCGATCTGAAGCCAGGAGCCAGGTGCCTCCTCCTGGTCTCCCACGCAGGTGCAGGGGCCCAAGCACCTGGACCATCCCCTATTGCTTTCCCAGGCCACAGCAGAAAGCTGGACCGGAAGAGGAGCAGCTGGGACTAGAACCCGGCACCCATATGGAATGCTGGCACCACAGGGGGAGGATTAACCCACTACACCATGGTGCTGGCCTCTGTAAGCTCCATTTTTAAGCACTGTCACCTTCTATTTCTGATCTTATAACTTAAAATAATCCTAACGACCAAAATGTCTTACCTCAGTAGCACATATCACTGGAAGCACTGAATTCCACAGCAGAAAATCATATGAAACATTTATGCCAGTAACACACAGCCCTAACACCAGTAAAATCCTCTAGTTGAAAGAAGTTATTACCCTCAGGCTCAGAACCAAGAAAGGCAACAACACATAACAAATATCAATCCACGTGTGGGGAACGGGGCTGAGTGGTTACCTGAGGAGTGGAAGTGGCACAATGCAGTACTTCTGGAGGGGTCACCAGGGGCTGCAATGGGGAGGGAACTGGCCCTTCAGGGTTCTCCCCCATCCCAAAGACCTAGCTGGCTGTTCTGCAAGATCCTAGGATAGAGAAGCTCTGGACTCACACACATCAGGTACATCAGAGGGAACTTGTGAGGTTAGATCACCATGTCCCCACGGCCAATTCTGGGACCCTCTCTGGCCCTCTTCTTTGTCTTGCTTGCTAGGCACATGCCCTGTGAGAAAGACTGATCTAATGGAACCAATCCAAGGGGAAAAAAGACCTTCATTATTAACCACTAGGGGTCTCCCAATGCAGAGGCAAATGCCCCATCTAGTCATTCCTAAGTGAAATTCACTAAGAGAAACAGGAAGGCACTGCTGTTGGAAAAGATGAGCATTCCAATCACCCTGGCTCCAGGCTCCAGGCAGCACTTCAGATCCAGTCAGAAATGCTGGGACAGTCTCCAGAAACATGCTTTCTTTCCCAATTTCCAAAAGCACCACTGTCTTCCCACACGGACAGCCCACACAGCCAGTGTGTGGTACAAGCAGGGCAGTTAATTGATTCCTGGGTAGGTGCCTTACCTGGCCTTGTCGAAGTACCTGCCAGTGTATGCCATTCCGCATGCAGCCCCCAGTCCTTGTCCAAACCAGCCTGTTGCCACATCAACAAACGACAGCCTCTGGAAGACAGAAGGGACCCAGTGAAGCCAGAAGCAGCTGCAGGACAGGAGTATCAGGCCTGCTTTTGGCACAGCATGCAGGCTGCTCCTGTGGCCCACGCAGTATGTATCATGGGAACGGCCCCCCCTGCCCTGCTCAGTGAACTCTTCACCACTCCCACATGCACCACGAGCCTCGGATCAATGTTACAAGTGGACAACAGAGCAAACCCATGGTGACCCAGATGAAGAGATCTGTCTTTCAAGCCTGGGGCGCACAGGTGATCCAGTGTGGCAAGGGTAACTGGAGCTTTGGGAACACAGAGGAGGGAGCCCATGCGCAAGGCAGAAAATGTCAAACTTGACTCTTGCCATTTTCCCAAGGCTTTTCTTCTAGTTATATTCAATGTTTTGGAGAATGTGGGTTCTTAAATAAAAACCAGAAACATTGAACTCTTAAGTTCTCTGCTTTGTAAACCTCAGGCCAACTGGTATTTGAGAAGCAGTCACCTAGAAGTACCGCTGCCAGAAAGCAATCACTTTCCACCACTACTTCCCTTCCCTTCACTAACATCCTGGTTGTCTGCACAGAGATATCCATGCCACAGGGTTGTCGCCCACTCCCAGGCTTCCAGAGACAGAAAACTGGTTCAACAGCTTCTGCCACCACCCTGCTGGCCTGGCCACAAGAATCCTTTACCTGTATCACTGCCCCAGCCTCTTCCCCGTAGCCACTTTCAACCCAGACACCAGAGGAGCCTGCTAAAAGTTAGAGGCAGCTCATCATGTCACAGCTGTCCCAAGTCTTCCAAATTTCTGTTCAAACACAGGCATTGTGGTCTTTCCGGATTACTGTGCTTCAATAGTGCCCTCTCATTCTCCTATTTACTTGTTTCCTGTTTGTCCCCCACCTCTGGTAAAGCATCTGCTTCATTCAAGCAGAGGCAGGTGCGTGTCCATCACTGTCATGGATAAACAAATGGCGCTTCTCAGTCTCAGCTGGCTCTTCCTGCTTGTTTCCCACTCTCCTCCCTGGGCTCTTAGGACCTTCTCTGGCATTCTCCATATGCTCTGTGCCCCCCAAGACTCCTGTCAGTGTTGCATCTCTACCCTAGCAGAACTGTCCCATAAAGTCTCTCTGACCACATCTCTAACTGTCTTCCTCCCTATGGTGGCCACCTCACGCCTGTAATGAGCTCAGACCAACTCTTTCCCCCTGGCTATGACGTGTGGGGCAAGTAAGACCATCTCCTAAAGGTCTCACTGAATGCAAACAATGGACCACAGCAGGCCGTAAGGTCTGCAAGAGAAGACTGGTGGGGTGTCAGCACAATGCCTGGTGCAGAAATGTCCCGTATGAGTTTCTTTCTCATTCCCACAACTCTTATACAGTGGTGGGAGGAGTGGGAGCAGACACAACCCAAGGAGTGGAGGACTAGAATAAAGATGGACACAAGGCGCTACGGACAACCACAAAAGTAAAGGACTTCTCTTCCAGACGATCTTCTCATCTCTGTTGCAGCAAAGTGTGCTTCCAGAAAAAGTTCACACAAAGGCCTTTTGGTTGGTTCCCAGGCCTGCTTGGCTGGAGAAAACAAAAGAGTTAACAAAAGCAAATCAAAGGTCTAGGGATGGAGGTTTGGCTGAAGAGAGACCCCGAGTCCCTCTACCCCAGCAGCTTTCACAGCACTGTGACAGCTCTACTAAGGGAGTCAAAGAACGTGATAGTCAGTGAGGGTGCCAAGCCTCAGCAGGCCTGCTGACGTAGCACTCTGCATTGGACAGTTATGCCCTGACCCTACAGTCACCTGAGGCCAGACCCAGTGCCTCGGAACAGCAGTGCTGAAGGCACTGCCTGCTCTGGCTCGAGTGTTCCCTTTTACTCTGTCCCTAGTCAAAGCCACCCTGCACTATGCTTCCTGCATTTTTTCCTCTTCCAATTTTATCTGCCGTCTAAATATGATGAACACACAAATTCTAGCAGCTGAACAATGCTTACTGTGCTACTGTATACCAGAAAGGCTCTTTATCCCTCTGAGGCTGATAACTTGATAGCAGCAGTTATGTGGCAAACTACACATTTTCCCTTTGAAACCAGAAACCTGAAAGCCCCTGTTGTATTTGTGTACCCCAATTTTAGCATTTTTTATTGTAAAGAACAGTTCAAGCTTATAAACAGATTATAAGCCTAGTCCAATGAATTTTCATATACCCAACTTTTAGCAGACCATTTACTTCATCTTTGTCTTTATACACACAAACTTTACCGAATTTTTTGTATGTTAATATTTGAAATTTTATTTTTGCCCAAGTGTTTGCGATTACATTTCAGACACCAAAACAAGGGTAAGAATGATGACTCCCAAGTATCTAAGCCACACCCGCAGTTGACTTTGTCCTTAAACCACTCCCCAACGCCCTGGTCTGGCATTTATGTTTGGACATGGTGCTCTCCAAGGCAGGTTTTAAATGATTTGCTCCAGGACACAGTGTTCTTCAGACAAAAGCAGCCACATGTTCTCAGCTCAACCTTGTTTTCACTGTTCCTTTTCTTTCCTGCCCCCTGTATCATGAGGTAGCTGGCACTGTATCCAGTCTAATGACAAAGTGCCCCATTAGTGTCAGGTGAAAGCTATGGAGAAATGGCAGAATGCCAACTGACAGGGCGGGATGTCTCCCCAAGTCACTTGATTTCCCTCAGATGCAGCTCTTCCTTTCCGCTGATGTTGGCTGTTTCTGCCCAACAGGCACAGGCAATGAGAGCAGCGTGATCCTGCCAAGGTGAAGCTTTAGTGCTAGGTGGAACAAGGCAGGGTACCACTAAAGGAAAGAGAGGCTGCCGCGAGCCAGCACGCCTACCAGGCATGTCACATGGCTTCAGGTTGGTTCTCGTTAGAACACCTTATAAACCTTCACAACACAAAGAGCCAGAATGATCATCAGGGCCCACTCCAGGCATGCTGCCATCGGAGAAGGAAGACTGTCATCTGCTTCACTCCCCCAAAATCCCTGCAACAGCCAGGGCTGGACCAGGTCAAAGACAGGAGCCAGAAACTCAATCCAGGTCTCCCGCACGGATGGCAAGGACCCAATTATTCGAGCCATCACTTGTGTTTCCTAGGGTGTGTATTAGTGAGAAGCCAGAGCAGAGCTGATACTTCAACCCAGGCAATCTGACATGGATGCAGGCTTCCCAAGAGGCATCTCAACCACTATGCTGAAGCCCTGGCCTAGTCTGGCAGCGTTTAGAAGCATGGGAACAGGCCCTGGGCTGCCCTGCCAGCATACCTTGGAGAGGACGAGGCGGTCATTGTCTGGGTTCTCCGGGTCTGACTGTCTGTATCTCATCGTGTAGAAGAAGAGCACAGACATGATCTCAGCAGCGCTGCTGCACGATGTGGGGTGGCTGAAAGACAGACATGACACACAGATCATTTCTCCAGGCAAGTGCAACACAATGTACAGCATGTGGCCTTCTCAGACCAGAAGCAACAGTCGTTTCTCCCAGCCTAGAATGATTCCCGCCAGGGGCCACGGCCTCCCAAGTTTGCAGCCTTGAAGGAAGCATCAAAGCCCAGTAACCTCAGCTTCTCCCTGCACACAGCCACCTGCTACAAGACCACCCCCTTGTATCAGTGGAGTACCATATACTTGAAGCAAGGTCACCCCAGGCCTTGAGTATTCTTGTGTGAAGTCATCTGGTTAATTCTACATGCTGATGCAAATTCAGGAGCCACTAATCAGAAACACCATGAAGACCCCATCCTACCACCTAAAATGAATTTATTTAGGAAGTGAATCATGAAAGACAGTAATTTCTCATGGTCAAGTAACTTGGGCCTTTACTGAATGTCAAAATAAGCACTGGTCTTACAAAGCGGCCTGCATGTGAGTCTAGCTGGTCCTTCAATAATTAAAAATAGGGGAGGGCACAGCACAAGGTTATAAAAGCAACTCCCTAGAGTCTTTTCCCCACAGTATGAAGAACAAGATTTTAGGCTCATCTCAGTCATATTATCTCTTGGTTCATGCTTCATAATACAGAAAACAGACGTAAAATTCTTGCATTGCAAGTGTTCTCTAAAGCAGATGATTTGGTTTCTAAGCCATTAGAGATCATTGAGAAACTACAATCCTCTTACTAATTTTAAAAGTAAAGGGAACAAATAAATATGTAAAAAAATCTCAGGCGGCTAAAATACTTGGGTCTCTGCCACCCATGTAGAAGACCTGGACCGAGTTTCTGGCTCTTGGTTCTTGCCTGGCCCAGCTCTACTGTTGTAAGCATCTGAGATTAAAGATCTCTCAGTCTCTATGCATTTTAGGTAAAAACGAAAATTCAAAAAGACCTCAAAAAAACATGGCTCTTAATTTTTTTAGAAGGGGTTGGCGCTGTGGCATAGTAGGCTAAACCTCCACCCGCAGCGCCAGCATCTCATATAGGTGCTGGTTCGTGTTCTGGCTGCCCCTCTTGCAATCCAGCTCTCTGCTATGGCCTGGGAAAGCAGTTAAGATGGCCTAAGTGCTTGGGTCCCTGCACCTGCGTGGGAGACCCAAGGAAGCTCCTGGCTTTGGATCAGCCCAGTTATGGCTGCTGCAGCCATTTGGGGAGTGAACCAAAGGATGGAAGACCTTTCTCTGTCTCCCCTTCTTTCTGTAACTCCACCTCTCCAAAAAAATCTTAAAATTTTTTAAAGAAAAGATTTGAAAGAAATGTTCCATCTGATGGTTCACTTCTCAAATGGCTACAATGGCTGGGACTTGGGCAGGTCAAAGCCAGGAGCCAGAAACTCCATCCTAGTCTTCTACCATGTGGGTGGCAGGCGCTTAAGTACTTGAGCCTTCTCCCACTGCTTTCCCAGGCACATTCACAGGAACTTGATCAGAAGCTGAGCAGCTGGGACTCGAACTGGCATTCCAATATGAGATGCCAGCACTTTTTAAAGAAAGATTTATTTATGTATTTTAAATGCAGAGTTACAAAACAGAGGGAGAGAGACAGAGACATGGAGAGATCTTCCATCTGCTAGTTCACTCCCCAAATGGCTGTAACAGCTGGGGGTGGAACAGTCTGAAATCAGGAGCCAGGAGATTCATCCCCATCTCCCACACAGGTGGCAGGAGCCCAAGTACTTGGGTCATCTTCCACTGCCTTCCTAGGCATATTAGCAGGGAGCTGGATTGGAAATTGAACAGCAGGACTTGAACCAATGCCCATATGGGATCTGGAATTGCAGGCAGCGGCTTAACCTACTGTGCCACAATGCCAGCCTCTTTTAAAAAAAAACTTTGGAACCAGTGTTGTGGCATATCAGAACACTTTTCAGAATCAAAGGCGGGGTCTCTGACATGGGAGCTGGGGATCTTAACTGCTAGGCTAACTGCTCACTCCCTAGGACAAGATTTAAAAGATATCATACCAATTTTGAGGCTATGTTAAAAAGTTAATGTAGGCCAGCGCTGCGGCACACAAGGCTAATCCTCCGCCTTGTGGTGCCGGCACACCGGGTTCTAGTCCCGGTCGGGGCGCCGGATTCTGTCCCGGTTGCCCCTCTTCCAGGCCACTCTCTGCTGTGGCCCGGGAGTGCAGTGGAGGATGGCCCAAGTCCTTGGGCCCTGCACCCCATGGGAGACCAGGATAAGTACCTGGCTCCTGCCATCGGATCAGTGCGGTGCGCCGGCCGCGGCGGCCATTGGAGGGTGATCCAACGGCAAAGGAAGACCTTTCTCTCTGTCTCTGTCTACTCTGCCTGTCAAAAAAAAAAGTTAATGTAAAAATGCAATCAAACAGTAAATTTAGGAGCAGGAGTTTAGCCTAGCAGTTAGACTCCTGTGTCCCACACTGGAGTGCCCAAGTTCAATTCCCAGCTCAGGCTCCTAACTTTGGCTTTCCACCAATGCAGACCTGGGGAGGCAGAGGTGATAGCTTAAGTAACTGGGTTCCTGCCACCCACATGGGAGATATGGATTGGGTTACCTGCTTCCCAGCTCCAGCCAATGGAAGTATCTGGGAAATGAACTAGTGGATGGAAGCTCCCTCTATGAAATAATTTCTAAAGATTTTTTTTATTTATTTGAAAGAGTTACACAGAAGGAGTGGCAGAGAGAAAGAGAGAGAGAGAGGTGTCTTCCATCCGCTGATTCACTCCCCAACTGGCTGCAACTGCCAGAGCTGTGCTGATCGAAAGGCAGGAGCCAGGAGCTTCTTCCCGGCCTCCCATGTGGGTGCAGGTACCCAAGGACTTGGGCCATCTTCTACTGCTGTCCCAGGCTATAGCAGAGAGCTAGATCAGAGTGGAGTAGCTGGGACTTGAATCAGCGCCCATATGGGATGCTGGCACTGCAGGCAGCAGCTTTACCTGCTATGCCACAGCGCCAGCCCCTGAAATAATTTCTTTTAAAAAGATTTATTTAAAAGGCAGAGTGACAGAGAGATCTCCCATCCACTGGTTCACTCCCTGAATGGCACAATGGCAGGGGCTGGATCAGGCTGCAAACAGAACCCATAAGCTCCATCTTGGTCTTCCACGGGGATGGCAGGGACCCAAAGCACTTGGGTCACGTTCTGCTACCTCCCAGGAGCATTAGCAGGCAGCTAGATGGGAAGCTGGAAGGCTGGGACTCCAAGCGGCGCTCGGGTGTGGTGTGCCGGCACTGCAAGCAGCAGCTTCACTGGCTGCACCACCTGGGAGGTCAGCACAGAACACAGCAAATGGGGAGTAAGGGAAGTTTAATGGGGGGGGATGGGGGTGACGACAGGGACCTGACAGGCTGGATGGGGAGAGCCAGAAAGAGGAGTGGGCCTGAAAACAGGCCTTGTTACAGACTCAGGGGGCGAGGACTGGGAAAGTGAATCCCGTTAGAGCGGGGGTGGGGCTGCTGCTTATGGTTGGGCTTAGTAAGCCAGGTTTGGTCCTGGAGAGGCCAAGATGGCATCCGGGGCTTGAGATGGCACTTTTACAGTCCTCCGCTCTACCAACTGAGCTATCGAAGGACACGTGAGATGGCACTTTTAGATATGTTGGCACCATTTCACCAACACCACCCCCGAAATTTTTCTTTTAATTCCATCCTCCACAAATATTTTAAATTTCCATCAAAAGGGATAAAACTGGAAATAGTAAATGGAAAATGCAGCAACTTCGTGAGAATCAAGCAACACACTCCTGCATGACCCATGAGTCCAAAAATTAAATTGCAAAGAAAATTAAAAAACAGAAACATCAAAAACAAAAACACAAAACCAAAACTGAACAGAAAAAGCAAAAGCAGTGCCAAAAGGAAATGTATTTGTAGTTCTAAACACATTAAAAAAAAAAAAAAACCCTCAAATCAACAAGCAAAGCAACTTAAGGAGCTAGGGAAAGAAGTAAACGCAAACCCATCAAAAGGCAAAATACGGATTAGGGCAGAAATAAAACAGACTAAGAAAACAGGGAAAAAAATCAATGAAACCAGAAGTTGATTCTTCTTAAAAAGATTAAGCAAAAGTGAAGACTGAAATAGCGCAACTCAGCAAACCAGAGGCCCATTCTGCTGCGGAAGTAAAAATTCTAAGAGCATTCTAAGGGCAAAGAACTGGTCACGCTGAAGAACTGAGTAGACTTTTACAAACAGAAAGCCCAAGACGACTACACCACAGCTAGAAAAATCACACGCCTCCAATGTACAACGGGGTAGGACAGAAATCACTCCCTAGGCGGCCAAGTACGCCGCCAGGAGTCTCACTGGGGAGTTGACCAAATGCGGAAAGAATCCACCGCCACCCCCCACACTTCGCCCTAAGATGGCGGGGTGGGCGGGGTGGGGGGCGGGCCGCGCAGGCGGCGTCAGTTTTGCTCGAGCCCAACGGTTCCACTTCCGTTCCCGCTCTCCACTAAGCCTCCTGGGAGAGCAACGGAAGATGGAGCGGGGTCCTGCGCCCACGTAGGAGACCGGAAGAAGCTCCTGGCTTCGCGTGGCCCAGCCCCGTTGCGGCCATTTTGGGAGTGACCCAGCGGATGGGAGATCCGTCTGTCTCCCGCCAATTCTCTCAAATAAATACATTTTTAAAAAATGTAAAATTAGGACATTGTGAAATTCATCCTACAAAGACAAAACGACAACAGCCCTTCTGAGTAGACAGAAAAGCCTTCGACAAGATAGCCGCGCTAGCAAACCCAGCAGTGCGTCTCTGCTCTTACTCGCCAACATCTTTCGTTTTCGGTTTACGTTCTCAGCCTCCGATAGGATGGCGCCCTCATCTCCTATCGCCTGGCGTCACCGCGTACAGTTAGCCCCTGTCGCCCACTAAACTAAACCGCGGCCCGACCGTTGCCATTCCAGGAACACCGCCCATCCAAAAAGCTTCCAGATCTTTCTCTCCTAGCCAGAGAGGCCTCGGACGCCTCCAGAACTCACGCGGCGGCGGGGGGGGGGACCAACCGCCCGGCCCTGACCACGACAAGAACACTGGCTGGCATGGATCGCGCTCCTGGACAGCTGGGCATCTGTGCCCAAGCCCACCGAGGCCCCAATGGGGCCCTTCACCCGACAGCCTCGCCTGCCAGCCGGCTGCCCGACCCAGCCCGTGCTTCCATAAGGGGACCTTACCCAGAGCCCGAAGTGCATGCGACCTTGATGGAATGGATCCGCAGGCGGTTGGCCAGGTCCCGCAGCACCTGCAGCGTCTGCTCGTCGGGCTTGCCCTCCTCAGCCATCGCAGAGCTCGCCTCAGAGTCAGACATGGCTCCGCGCACCTCGGCGTCCGCAGCGAAATGCTGAGGTGCGCTCCCGCAGCCTCTGTGAGGGGATCCGTCCGCGCGAGAATTCCTCCGCGCGAGAATTCCTCCGCGAGAGGATCCCTCCGCGGCACTCAACCCTCCACTCACCCAATGAAAGGCACTGTGAATACTGCCCGTTGCATGATTAACATTGTACAAAATAATTCCAGTTCTATGTATCTTCCCTTCCATCAGTTCCAACGACTGCGCGAGCGCTGGAACTCCTTTTGGAGTGAAAAGAAGTTCGGTCGCTCATGGCGCATGTAGTTAGAGGCGAATCACGCAGGTCAGAGGTGATACGAAGTTGAGGTGGCTGCCGCGTGTATTATTTCGCGCTAAATAAAAAAAGTCACACTGGCATTTAAAACTTCGCTCAGGGTCACCCCTTTCCTGTAACAGCCCTGCTGCCAGGTGGTCTTTTCAGCCGGCAAGTGGCCTCAGCCCCGCGCGCCGGCACAGCCTCTGCGTGTGGTTCTTCTTTCACTTTCTAGAACCTTCTGTAAGGCAAGCCTCCTGTGACACTTGAAGTGGCGTTAATCCAACGGCCTCCTGTAGCTTCACAGGGAAGCCTGTGTTGGGTGGGCTCAACTATGGAACGTGCACCCTTTCCATCTGACGAGTTTTTTCTCAGGCCATGCAGCTCCGTAAAGGCTACAGTGTCAGTCTCAGAGCTTTGCCCTTTGAGATTGTCCTGCGGGAACCACCATGGCTGCCAGTGGCTCCACCTCCACAGCACTTGGCAAATTCGAGTACTTGGGACCTGAGTGTTGACTCTAGTTCAATAATGCAGAATAATTGTGTGAGTGCCCCAAGTGTCCCCTGGTTGCCACTAAGTCCCCGTGTTCATGCTGGGATAAAGAATGTATGTGTTTAAGATTTCAAGAGTCCTTGATTCACTGGCAACAAACCTGGACCTCTTTATACTTCTACTTGGAGAGGACGGCGTGCGCATGCCCCTGCGTACTCATCAACACTGGGTAATGTTAACCTTTTATGTTTTGGGCATTCTGATGCATGAGAAAATAGTATAGTCATCACTTTGACTTATAATTTCCTTGTCAATTTACAGTTGCGTATTTTTTTACATTTATTGCTGGTGATATTTCCTCCTGTCTGAGCTGTGCATTATTGCCTTTTCTGGTTTTGTATGCAATGATTTACCTCACTGATTTCTACTTCTTTACAAATTATGCTGATTAGCCCTTTATCGGAGATAATTCCAAATCTTTTTTTCTCCATCTGTTGCTTTTCTAATGGTAAAGGGCATACTGTGCTTTTAAGAAAAAAATGTGTGCATGGGCACCGGTTCTAGTCTCGGCTGCTCTACTTCTGATCCAGCTTTCTGCTATGCCCTGGGAAAGCAATAGAGGATGGCCCAAGTGCTTGGGCCTTGCACCCACGTAGGAAACCCAGAGGAAGCTCCTGGCTCCTGGCTCCTGGCTCCTGGCTTCAGATCAGCACAGCTCTGGCTGTTGCAGCCATCTGGGGAGTGAACCAGCAGATGGAAGACCTCTCCCTCTCTCTGGCTCTATCTCTCTCTGTAACTCTTTCAAATAAATAAGATAAATCTTTT